ATCTTTCATTTATAATGGGAGAATGTTACAAAAGGTCCTAGCCAAGCAAGTTTACATCTATGGCTAAAGCAGCTATCCTAGAGTGATAGGTCTACATGATAGTGAAAATTCGAACTGGCTTTTCTAAGGTGATGTTGTTGTTGGCTAGTTGGCCTCGGAGTCCTCCACTTCAAGGTTGACCTTCTTCACTTCTTCAATTTTCTGGTAAAGCTTGCTCGAAGGATCATTTGCTCAGCCTTCAGTAAAGAGAGTTGTTGTTCCAACTTCTGGATCTCAGCAACAACCACCATGATGCAATCCTCCATGGCCGAGCTTTCCTCCACTAGCTGCTGCAAAGAGCTGGAAGTTCTGCTCGGTTTGCTTACCTTTCTGCCCGAAGGTGTTGATCCTTCAAAGCCATCAAGTTCTCGAAGAAGGAAATGAATGACTCATATTGGACATTTGACATTTGCTGAGCCTAGTACAACTCAGTGAGTGCTTTCTCAGCTTCTTAGAGTGATTTAAGGCTGAAGAAGTAGTGAAGTCCCTCTAAATCTACTCTTTGAAGACTCGGTGCAGATCTTGAAGATGTTGAGGCTCAAAAGGGAGCCTTGGAGACCTCAGCTTAGTCCTGATTTGCTCGGACTCTCTAACTAGTTCAGGCAAAGAGGTTGTGGCTAGAATAAATGCAAAAGGTAGAGGCATTACTCCAGCACCCCCAGAGGCAACAACGGCAGAGGCATATTCAGTAGAAATAAAGGGAAGAGACTCAGAAGCAAAAGTAGCAGCAGCAGTCTTTCTGGGCCTAGGGATGGGGATTCCTGTGACTCCAGAGGCCTTAGGAGGCCGAAGAATGACCACCTTGTGCAGGATAGGGCGGGAAGATTTGCCCGAACCCTTACCAAAAGCCTGTTTTTGAACCGAGAGAAGAGTAAGTTAAAAGGTTGGTTTACACCAAAACTAAAGAAAGAACATAAAAGAAAGAGCTTGTATACCAGAGCTAAACCTTTAGCTTTATGATGAGGAACCTCTGTTGCTGTAACTGCCTTAGGAGAAGCAGATAGGCTGGCCCAAAAAGGAGCTTAAGGAGTCTTCGGGCTAGTTACCTCTGAGACGACAAGTATCTAGGCTCCCCAAAAGCTGGTGGTGGCTGGTGTGTTGTCTCTTGCACAGGAGAAGATTGGAAAAAATAATACACAAATTAAAAGTTATTGAAGAAACTTGAAGAGAAAGTTAAAAAGGGCTTAAGGAAAAAAAGTCTTACTGAAGTACTGGCATCCTCCATGTAGTGAAGCATCTTCCCAGTTGTTGGATTAAAGTGGGAAGTAAGAGTGACCACCATAGGTGGAGGAAGGGAGGAAGAACTAGGAGATGATGATTGCTCGACTTGAGTTGTAGATGTACCTCTCCTTGCCTAAAAAACAAATAAAATTGATTGTTAGTTTTGAAGCTTAGGAAATACTACTTAACCAATATTAAGAGAGAAGTATACCTCTGAGGACTTGGCCCGAGGAGGAGAAAGATGCATCGATCGGGTTGGAGGAAAAAAAGGCTCGAGCTAGGATGTCCCCTCTGCTCTGGTATCTTATTTCAGGAAAACAACAAAAATTTAGTAAGAATATTAAGCAGAGTGAGCTTCAGAATAAACTTAGTGCTCAAGGTATTGAAAAACATACCTTCAACTCCTCAAGGATCTTGGCAAGAACCTCCATGTCTTCTTGCTATACTATGTGCCCGACCGTGCCTTTCTGGGAGTGGGGGCAGGATTCTTGGTAGCTGGAGGCCCTGATTACAAGAAAAAGAGGGAAGTTAGCTTGGAACTCAGAAAAATCAAAATTAGGGAAGGAAAAGACTAAGGCTGAGTCACTTAATGGAGAATTTTTGTTTCTTTATGCCCGCTTCAACTGGATGGGCAGAATAAGGCTTGGAAGCCTGGGAAGAGGCAAGGCAGGTTAAGCTTGAGGCCTTTCCTCGGGCTCAGATTCTAAAGACTCCACAACAGTAACATTTGCCCGACAAAACACCCTTATCTGTACATTCAGGCCCAACCTCGACCTTTGACTCACTGAAGAGCTCTGAGATGTATCCAGCATCCTCAGCAGCTTGGCTGGACCCTACTTCTTGCCTTCCTGCCTCAGCAATAGCCTTTTGGAGAACCAAGGCATCTGCAGCCTCCTCTTCTGGCCGGACATTCACTTCTTTAGTGTTGCTTTAGTCTGCAAAACTTGAAAAAAAAATTAATAAATGACAAACTGTGAAGGCATGATAAAGAAAAGCAAAACAGGGACTTGCGTCTTCTGGTTGATGGCCTTCTTCTAGCTCTCAAACTTATCCTTCTTTGAAAGAGACTTGAAGAAAGCTTGCCTGAATAGTCGATCGTGGGCCTCCCTGATATCCTTATTGTACTTCTTTAACCACTTGGCCTTTTACCAAGTGGCAAATGAGGGAGTGCACTTAAAGTTCAAGGTCACAAGATTGTGCGCAATTTGGCTCATCCCTTTGAGGCTGCGCCGACTTGTTGGAAAAGTCACCTCTGAAAGAAAGTGGAGGCTATAGGAGGTTCCACAATGCAGGGAGTCAAAGAAGGGCACTGGGATTGCCTACCTAAATCCCACCTATCTACCATAGAAGTTGGGGTGGTAGACTTTTAGCCCGCGCTCGTACCTACTCGGTTACTTCGCACTTCCCAAGCCAGGTCTCTTTGTTAAATGCAACTTATGAATTTCTCCTTGCACGTGCTGCTGACATCTTTTCCAAAGAAATCCTGGAAGATTTGGTATGAGAACCAAGGGTATTTCCTAAGCACGAAGGCACCCACACTCCAAATCTACCCTGACTTCGACAGATTCTGAAGAAGTAGAGGTAGGCGAGAGTGGAGTGGTTGGTAATGGAAGCTTCTGCCAAGATGCCGGCTGGAGCTATGCCATCGGGAAATTCCAAGTTGGGTGCCTGAAATTTGGGGAAGTATCATTAGAGCTAAAGTTGAACCATCCAGGTAGCCCCATTGAGGTTGGTCTTGAATGGCTCGCCCTTGGTTATCTCATGGAGAAGGTGGTAAAGGTGTGCCAGGATAAAAGGCCCCGTGGCAACATCATCGAACGAATGCAGTACCTCCACCAAAGGGATCCACTCTAGCTTTACTTCCCTTAACTTGTTGGGGAACACATGCTTGTTTAACCAATAAAGGAGGAAGTATATATGTTCCTGGGCCCTATCTGCAGTGGGAGAGGGTGAGCTGAACATTTTCTTCTCGAAATGGATAAAGCCCGAGAAAGATGTCCCATAGCTTATGAAGGTGGAGGAATTGTACTCCAAGCGGGTGATTGACTCAGAAACCTCCGAACCTTCAGTAGTTAGGCAAGAGGGCGAAGACCAGTCATGTGTGATGTCCACACACTTGCCTGAGGGCCTCAGGCCGAAGACCTGAGCCATATCTAAGACTGTAGGAGTCTTGGGACCCATTCTGCAATCGAATGTATTGGTCCCATTATTCCAGAAGATGAGTGCAATGGTTAAGAGCTTGGCCTTGGCTATGATAGTAACCTTGGACATCATGATGAGCTTGTAGATGCCATTTACCATCCACTTTTGCTTCTAAATGGGCTCGAGTTTATCCACTCACTAAGACCAAGCCTTATCCTTCATCAGAGGGAAACCCCTTCTAAAATTCGACTATTTGGAGGCAGAGATTCCAGCCTTGACGGAGTAAGGGTTAGGGGTGAACCAATTGGCAGTGGGCATGTTATTCTCCACTGTAATAGGGACTCGAGCATTTCAGGCAGGCCCCAAAAAGTGCACCCCTCATTCTTCAAAGAAAATGGACAGGTTTAGGCTAGCCAGAGGGCAATAAAGGTTGTTAAGCCGACAGTGCAAATTGACGATCCCTTCTTCAAATTCGCATGCAGGGCGAAGTTTGGGGGCCATGGTTGATTTTTGGAAGGAATAAGTGAAAGTAATTAAAGGCAAAAAGCAAGAGGAGAAGGCAAGAGGATTCGAGGATTCGAATTCTGGAAATTAGTAAGTATTGATGGAAGTGTTGGCCAAGGAAATTTAAATGGAGGTTATTTAACGAGCAGTTAGTTAACGTTGGAGATAATGGGTTAGTGCAAAGGTTTATTCGAAATGGCTGAGTAAATGGTGCAAGTCTTGAGTCAAAGCATGTAGTTAGTATTTAATCATTATTAATGTTTCGGTTAATAGACTTAATAATGATTAAAGGGGGCACTGTTTGAGTTTATATTTAACTTTAAGCTTCGAGACAGTAGAGGCCTAAAGGCGCCAAAATAAATGAGACTTACCCGAGCCTAGTCAACAGGCCCGAGATAAATGCAAACTATTTTCAGTAAGAAAGTGATGAGCAACAGAGAACACCTCACCACCAGACAGAAAGCACTTTTTAAGGGCATGACAAGTAAATATGCAATGACTTACAACCCTTCGAAAGCCATCAGCCAAAAACAAAGCCAAGATAGTTAGGGCCAAATTGTCTATAAAAGGAGAATGGGACACCAAAAACAAGGACACTCAACCAAGCAATCAAAAGACATACAAACTCTACTCTCAAGCCAGTTTGTACCCAGAAAGCTTAATCTTGTCCAAATCCAATCCTTTTTAGGTATAACTCCCTTAGGAAAAGCCATCTTTTGTCTAGTGTAAAAGCTCTGCCACCTTCCCTTAGTATTGTAGTATCAATTCCTTCGTGTAAAACCTATGTACTTTTCATCCATCACCATATACAAATCTCTGTAAACACAAAGAGAAGTGGCTACAAGAAGTTGAACCTTTCCCGACAAGGTTAGATCTTGCTCGAGTCTCTCTTCTTTGTACTTACATTTAGTAGATCTGTTGTTTAATGTAATTTCCTTCATGTATTTAAGTCACTTTCAACTATTTTCTACTTAAGAGTTTCCTTTACATTTGAATCTGGTTAAGTTATTAAGCCTGTTTCCATTAAAGTAAAGCTTGATCAAGGAGACAGTTGGAAGGGCCTTGACCCCCTTCATTTTGTACAAAACTATGAATTAAAAGTCCTTGTTCACAAGGCAAGAAAATAATTTAATACAGACTTAACTCATCTGTGACAATCCCTTGATAAACAAGATGTCTAATTAACTTAAGGCATAAATAATCAACTTAACTCACACCTATTCAACGATCTGTTATACAAAGATAACAGTGGCACGCTCAAATCTTTGTTAGTTTTGATTGTGAGCTTATGGCCTACACCAAAGGCCCCACAAAGGCACATTTCAAACTAACTACAAATTCATCTTGCAGCACACCAAATCACAAGATCTTGCCCGACAGGCAAGAAAGTGCCACCTCCCTAGGGAGCTGTGCGAGGGACCAGGTCCTAGAAATCCAACCCGAACATCCCTAATGTCACAACAAAGCTACCCTAATGCAAATAGCATGTTTGGTGAATCCCTTCATTAAGAATATAACCACTAGACCAACTACAGGACATCACAATCCCTGATCAATCTTCCAGCTCCGACAACTGATTCTCACCATTATCTGGCTCCATCAGCATTCAGCTTGAGAGTACTTGGAGGAGGTGGATGCTGAGCAAGACAAGAGGGAGCCTCAGCAAGTAAATCCTGGGATCTAGGATGCTTTTCCTAGCATTACTCAGTCTGCATAATACTTCTTTCCCATTCAAATGCACCAAACCTATCTACATCGTATGTTGACGAGACTAGCAATTCTGATGGTCGTTTGCCTAGCACATTTGAAACTATATCCAAAAGAGAGTGACAAGCATGGAGTTCCTCCATCTTTTGCGAACCAGTTTGTCCCTGCGTAAGATCCTTCCACGGCTGGTAAAATGCCCTGTACAAATTGTATAGCCACCACAAGTTAGATGTCGAACAGGGTACTACCACATAAATAATGCACATAGCAGTCGAGTTGGTCAACAAAACATCAAATATCAGACAGATTTTTAAACCAATTTATCAAACTGACGGTGTCAGCTTAGTAATATTTTTTCATCATACAGGGTTTCCCAACACGAAGCCCTGTCCTGGTAAACAAAAAGATAACATATACCCATATCCTGGAGAAGTCTATACACTAGCAAACGCAATCAAACTTGATCAATTGCCCAACACCAGTGATCTCAATAAAACATTATGCAATATTAATAGGAAAGGAAAAAAAGAGGGTGGAGAACGATATATATTACCATCTCCAAGAGAGATTTGCTTCAGCAGGGCAACCTATCTTCGACCACAATGATTTCACAACACTTCCATTTTTACACAAGAACCCTGAACCAGAAAATAAAGTCTAGTCAGAGAAGGAGCATAAACATGCAAATGCATTTGATTGTGAGTGCCTTGTAAACACCAGTTGAGAAAATGATTCTGCATGATCAAATCATCTTTACTATCCTATGTAATATGCCTAGATCCAAAGCAGCTCACCACTTTCATTCTTTCTGTTTCTGTAACAACCTAGAACAAAGCCACACAAAATACACACCATACCTCCGCAACCACTCGATGAGTTTGTTCATGACCAAATACTACATAAAACTACGAAGTAAGTCTACATAACTAGAAGTTAATCTATGTGCTTTCAATTGTTCTTACTGAACATCTGAAAAATAGCTGAAAGGACACGTCCTTGACCTGAGACATCCGAAAAAGTGGTGGCTCTCTCACAAAATCAACCTAATGTCTCACCAGCAGACACATCCATAATGACTATACAAGGGCCAACTCAAGTCCGGTTTGGTACAGTTTTTGAGAGAAGATTTGGTTTCCGGGAAATGTTTTTGCTCCAAAATTGTTCGGTAAAAAGAATTTGGCCCAAAGCTAAAGGCCCACAAATTTGTTTTGAGAAAGCTGGTCCAACCCTGCTTTTAGGCACTTTGCCTGAAAGGGTATCCAGGGAGAGCATGCCATAGGATCAGTTGAGCATTCTCATTCATTATTATTCCCTGCTTAAATACCATCGAGTTTCAAAATTAACATTAAGCCTGGGCTACCCCAAATACAGGAAGTCGACCGGTTTTTAATCCAACAATGTATATTGCCACCCAAACACTCAACTGTAACATTCCAAATGCATAAGTAATCTAATGAAAACATGATACCTGTGAAAACTGAGCCATCATAAAGCAAAAGACTAAGGGCAGCTGCAACTGATGGTAGCATTTGGTAATTTGTGCCTGCAAGCTGTTGGAGGAAAAGAATTGCAGAAGCTAAAATCTCCTCACAACCATATCTGCTTTTGCTCTTTCTTCCAGATGCACTTTCAACAAGCTCCATTAAAGTCTGAAGAGTTTTTAAATTTAACCTCTTTGAAACCTCGGGGTCCAAATCATTGGATTTCCAATCAAGCTTCCCAAGAATTACAGAAGCAGTGAGCCAACGTAGAAGCTTTGATATCAAAGAATTTTCGTACAGCTCTTCCTCTGGAATACTAATTAAACATAGGTGAGATTCTTTAGGCTGAAGCATCTTTGCAGAGTCTGCTTCCAAAGCAGCAGAAACTGCCCACACAATAAAACTTGAAATCTTTTCACGGCTCTGAAAAATAATTATAGCAAGCTTTCAGCTTTTTTGGTATAAACAATACAGTGAAGACTAATATTGTATGGTGTATGAGAGAGAGAGAGAGAGAGAGAGAGAGAGAGATAATACCAAACAAAATATGTCCGCTGGAGGTGCACTCATAAGTATAGCTTTAAGAGCAAGCTCTACTGTACCACAAGATCTTGCATTATCACATATCTTAACAGCCTTATATATGTTATACGAACCCTCAACTGATAGAACAAAATGTGGCTGATATATCCTTCTCTTCTGGGACATCTTGAGTGTTAATATTATTGTTCCCAGAATTGGATTGACAGCAGCAACGTTATCCTTTATCAGTGTCATATCACTGACAAGAAATTTGAAGAGATGAGATGCAAGTTCCATAAGCTGCTCAAGGGCATATTGTTGCAACCACTCATTGATTTTTCTCAAAGAAATAACATCATTGACGACCTGAAAACCAAGAACACAGGAAGTAAGCAGGGAGTAAAAGATACATTATTCTTTGGAAGACTTGCTGGGAGGTTAATAATTAACAAATAGTAAATATACTGACCAATTAAAATATCTCATTCCTTACAATGCCATGACAATATATAGGAGGTGGTCTATATGATTGCCTGCTCCTTCGAATTCTTATTTTTATTTTTTAATATGTACCACTCCACCAAAAAAATAAGTAAACAGCACAAGGGCAGAAGTTGTTCACAAGTGTAGTTAGAGGATGCTAGTGAAAATATCAACTAAGACTGTTAAGCAAAGCTAACCAACAAACATTACATGGACATGTGAACATTGCTATTATGACACTTCTAGTTACGGTTCACAGTACAGATGGCAGATTTCAATATACATCGCACCAGACACCCAATTATTATGCATTGACAATTTGACATGAACAAAAAACTTCAGGGGACAGGGAATATAGAATCTCAAAGAAAGAAGCAAACAATTTCAGTAAATACCTCTGATATCACACCCAACTGCAACAAGACCAAACTTTTTCCATCTCTGAAATGCCATTCGCCCAATACTGAGAGAACAGATGATAACCACGAAAAAAGACCACATTTTTCAACCAGATGACGAGCCATCTTGTGTAATTTAACTGCCTTCTTGACTACCTGCATAAAAATAAATCAAAAGCAACTGTATCACACTAAGGAAACTCAAGTTTTCAAAATTAGAGCAAAAGATACAGGTGCATCACCAAAAAAAATCGCAAACTGAAATCTAACTCATTTCTTTAGAATCCCTTATTGTCAGTTTATAGACAACTCAATCTACCAGGCCTAGCTCGTGTGTTACAGCGAAAACATTCATTCAAAGAAAAATAGTTTTAAAGTAAATAGGGCATGTAGTTCCAATCAACAATGCCTTCGTCCATGTATTTGATTAGCTGATTGAACCCATTATTTGATTCTATTATGTTTGTATCCACGTATTCTTGTCCACGTGTGTATTAAAACCGTACGTCAAACCTAATTACAGTTTATCTCCTATGCTATGGGCTTTGTTTCACTTTGGTACCCAAGTATCACAACATTACAATGTACACCCTATTGTTTGCACAGCGTGGCAATTTTAGCCTTCAGTCGGCCTACAATGAAGTTTTCCATTACTTGCCTGTGTGGCACACGTGAGCCCCATTCTGTGCTCAAACAGACCACACAGTTATGCCATGTGAAAGCAACTTTAAAAGCCATCTGACATGTTACATATTAAAAAAATAAAAAAAAAGTAGAAGTAAAATACAAATAAAAAATTTTCAAGAGGGAAAATTGTGACATTTCAAGATACATTATCGAGGATCATCTTGAGACCTTAAACAAACATTTGAACAACTAAACCCAAGGCAAGTGAATCCTCATTTTTGTCCCTTGGGAAATCAATCCAAATTTTGCGTCAACACAAGTCAGAAAGTTATGTTGTAAATCCAAATTGTTCGCATCCAACTTTAATGCACTCGCTCTTGACCCAGGAGAAACAAACAAAAGAACATTTTCAGATGATGACAACTTCTTCATTTCAATTTAGATTTTTGAGAAGAAAAAAAACCACTTAGGGATGATGACAAGATACTGAAAAGAAAGCTTCTTTTGATTTCTTTTCTGCCAACAATGTCAAATCAAGAGCACTTTTTATTTTTTAGGAAAGAAATGGTTTCACTTATGAAACAAAAAAAGTCAATGCAAAAGTATGGACAGACGCAAACACCAGAAATTACAGCAAGCTTACAAGTTCCCTGAAGAATTAATTGTTTTCTTAAAAGAAAAGTTACCTGAAGTATTAGTTCCTTGGATTCATCTTCCGAAATTGGAGAGACATAGAAACTCATCAGAGCCTCAAGAACCGAGTTGTTCATATAAATTTGAGCATCCTCATCAAAATTTAGCCCTGCATATACTAAGCGAAGTATCCACAACCTTTCTGCTTTGAAATTGATAGAGGAACTCCAAAAAAAATTGCTAAAGAAAAGTATATTCTGCAATTAAAAAAAAATAAATTAAGAAACCCTGAAATGTTTATAAATGACTCATGTAAGTACAGATCTGAACGTGAAAAGAAAAACTAATGTACCAAGTTCTTGGAACTCATACCTTGACATTCAACCTGGACGATCTCATCAAAAGCGTCGTTAAGGCTGCATAATGCTCATGTGAAGGATCTAATAAAATGAGGGATGTCTCTGCAGCAAAAATAGAATTTACAGAAGGGATTCTCTGCCATGGTTCTTCTATAGCATTTTGCACATAAGTCAACAGAAGTTGAATGTGCTTGACACCCTTCCTCTTTTGACATCTCTGTGAAGGGTAGTTGAACTTTGATTAACAAACAGCTTAAACAAAATACGCCGAAAGGAATATCATAACCAAAGTAACAGTAAATTTTTTTTCTAAATGGATCATCAGTCATAAATATCGACATACCAATATACTCTGCATGCATTAATATAGAAATTAGGACTAATGACTCTCCAGTATTAAAGAGGACTAATATTGTTGTAACTAACATTATATTTTCTATGGTTAACACAAAATATATGAGAAATTAGGAAAGTGCACAAGCATAATAGATATGTATTTCACTTCTATTACACACACACACACACAATTTATGACACGCCCGCATGCACAGAAAGCATTTACAGAGCCAGAAACAATTTAGAAAACAGCTACCTCCAATGTGTTCTTAAATCTTCCAAGAGTGTCATAACCCAACCTTCTTATTCTGTCGTCAGGTGATGACATACTCATAAATGCAATAGCTAGCAAGCCTAAACCAGCAAACTCCAAGGGTTCAAAATAACCCTCTGCGAGGCTATGAATAGAGAAGCGCAAGATGAAAATAGGATTATATCGTTGTATATATTCAGCATCAGGAGAATGCAACTGCATAAAATGTTGAAATTGGATGAGAACTATCACAATAAGCACATATCCAAAGTCTCAGCTCAAACAAAATTATATTCATCATTAATTCACAAGTAAAGAGATTTACCAAACGACCATCATCAAAATTATCTGTTTGAAACTTGTTCAAGCATAGTAGTTCTTCAGATGCCACTCTATCATAAGGAAAATATAGCACGGTGGATGCACAGATTTTGGGGTCAACAACAAGATTTTCTCTAAATTGACTTCTACGGCGTTCTTTTACCGCTTCAGTATTAGTCAAGACATCATCAGACATATTCCTTTCCAGAGTCCGTTCTTTTTCTATCTTTAACACGGCACTGCCCCACAAGTGATCCATTCCAGCAACATTGGCAGGCTTTGAACCATCAAGACACTCAATTGTGCGTATCAAGTTGTATATCTCCACATCAATTTCACTAAGTGTTGCACCATAAGAAGACAGAAGCAGTAAATGCAGTTCTTTTAGATTTATGCATATATCTTTACCAAAGTCAAAACTATGTTGATGCTCCTTGATTGGAAAGAGCATCCGTAGTAACTTGACAACCTCCAACTGTCTTGCATACAGATCCGCTGTTTCCATATTGCACTTGTGATCAATTACACTTTGGTTAGCGGAAGGGACAACAAGCGATCTTAGAATGCCAGGCATGGGCCTGGAAAATGCACCAAAACTGAAACCATCAGATGATCTGTAGTCTGAGCGAACTGTTGGCTCAAACTGAGAATGGGCAAGTAGAAGCTGAAGGTAGGGAACACGTGAAAATTTTCCCTCTGACAGCACACTTAGGAGATCTCGGATGGATTTCAAAGTTGTTGGATCTTCAAACCTATATAGAAGTGCTGGTTTCATCAATTGCTCTAGGAAAGGGATAGATTGTAATTTAATAAGACCATCAGACATCTCTCCAGTCAGTTCAAGAATGTTCATCAATATGAGAGCTTCAAAGCATCTCCACAAGGAAGTACCTGTGCTTGTTTCCTTTTGAGAACTATCAGCAACTGAAGGGACTCTTTTAACAATCCATTGCCAGATACCCACCAATATGTTCATAAACTGCATTCTTGAAGAATCCAGTTTTTTGGATGCAATGTCCAAAGGATTGTCTTTCATGTCACTGCCTGCTTCATTTGACCGACTACCTTTTGGGAATAATAAAACCTTACCAAAAGATATCTTTGCAAAAAATTTATTTACAAGGTTTAATGATTCATTGAGTGATTGAGAAGCCAATCCACCAATATCACAACCTACCAGCTCATCCTGTGACACAGAAGGTGGGAAAACGGAATTAAAAAGCTTGAACCGGTTCTTCATTTTCATTGTATTTTCATTCAAACTGAAGTGATAACGCAACATACAAATTGTTTTTCCAAGAAGACTATCATCAATCAGACTGAGAAGTTCTTGAGTAGATGATGGCAAAAACTCTCCAAATTCTTCCTGAAACACATCTCTAGACACAAAACTCTTCCACTGAAGGAAACCATTCAAAATAATCCTTGAATAAAAAGTTGGTATACATCTAAAATGCTCATAAGACAACCTTCCAAATTTCAAGGAAACTGAATTCAAGTACAACAAAGCAGCAGGCAGAAGCATGATACAGTCCTCATCTGAAAGAGCAGAGACACAAGGCTCTTCCATCACATTATCTTCATGTTGAAAATCTCTGTCTTTGTTCACAAACCCTAAAAATAAGTGCCCAAAGGTAGACAAATGCAGGGAACTCATATCAGTAAGAAGAGACAATAATCTAGCTTTCATCTTGCTGGTTCTGCAAATGCAATGGGAGATAATTTCTACAGGGGTGCTTGCTATAACTCTCGACAATATTATATGTAATGGATGAAGATTACATTGTTGCATGTATTTCTGTCTGCATACAGCATTTATAGCTTCCAGCAAGCATAGATCCACAAATTCTGTTTTAAAATGCAAGGAAAACTTGCATATTTTAAGATAGATTTCCTCAATAATGTCACTGTTGACCTTGTTCTCTTCCATTTTCCAAAATATATTATATGATTTTCTCTTTGTATTTGGCTGCTGCAAGAAACTTGACAGATTTCTGAAAGCACCACCAGCAATGCAAGATCCAAAAGAAATAGCAGATTTCTCAATGTCATCCATGTCAGTTCGACTAAACATCCAATGCACCAATTCAAGAAGCTCAAAGGGGGATATAAAACGAATCAAAACATGTAAAGCATAAAATGTTGGGACGAAAGGCGTAAAATCCTTAGTACCAATGCATTGATCAAATTTGCCCCTGACTTCATGAAATAGATTCCTTTGCAAGATGTTAAATGCTTTCACAAATTGTTGACCAGCACCTATTTCAACTTCTGCTGTAAATTGGCCGTCATTGCATAAAGTAAACAAGTAGTCACAAGTTTTTACCAATATGTCGAAGGCATGACAATCTAATCTATGAATACTCTGCCTTGATAAGCTAATCAAAGCATTTACATTGTCCGCTAGGCTACCCTTTGGTAAGTCTTCACTGCATCCCAAAGGACAAGATAACAATGTTAGCATTGCAGGATGACAGATGATGATTTCAGCCACTTCTTGAACATCTTGGCTTGACAGAAGTACCGAGTAGTTTTCAGAGGAATCAGAATCAGTATTCAACACCAACAGTTGAGATAACAACTTCTCCACTAGAACTAAACAAATCTCCGACAGTTGTTGGAAGTTGACTAAATGTCCAACTCTTTGAGATAACCGTATCTGATAAAGCCAAAATAGCACAAGACGCAAATGGGAAATAAGGTGGCAATCAATTGAGCACTCAGATAGTTTAGCTACAAGCAAGTCTTGTATCTTGGAGAGGTCTGATGAAGAATGACCATCAATGCTCATAATGGCAGGGAATAAAACATGGAATGGTGCTTTCTCCAAATAGAAAGAAAAGGCAGCAGAAGCAGCTTCGTTTGTATCAAGATCTTGGTTACATATCATTCCTCGTGCATAAGAAACAGGGTCAAGACATCCACAGGCATCATCTTGTCTACCTCTGCAATAAATACTGGATAGAGCCTTTTCCAGACCAGGAATAAATATATCAGGCCACAACTTAGAAACACTGGCTAGAAGGGTTTGTTCCAGAAAAAATATTGATGATAAGAGAGAGACAGGAACGGCAAGAAGATATTTCCAAGCTGTCATAAATGATGGAAACTTTTCCAGTATTCCCTCAAGACTCGTAGAGATAATGGAGAAAGAAAAGGCTTTGGTTATTCTAGCTATGTCACCAGCATCCCTACTATTCTCAAATCTTTTCACTTCCTCAAGTGTAATTGCTAAGGAACTATCAGCAGTCATAGCCTTATTGTGAATAGAAATAATGCCACATGTTTTCTGATCAGATATACTCTGTGAAAAGAGCAGTAAATTCTTTAAAGGCCTCCACGCACAGATTTTATCCCTAGCATTGTCAGCGACAGAACAGTCACCAAGTCTCTCAACCAAGACTGAGCAAATCATGGAAGAAAGCAATCTTGCATCAACCTATCAAAATTAAATTTCACATTAGATTGCATTCAAATAGCAATCAATTCCAAGCTAAGAAACAACAGAAGTGTACCTGAGTTTGCAAGAGATACTTCAGTGTGCTGCAAACATACGTTGATATCACTGATTTTTCAGGCATTGTAAATGTTCCAGACCCAGAATCGAGCAACCTTAGACATTTCTGCAGTACACATATGCTAAGAGGGCTGAAACGAGGTATCACATCTGCCAAAAAGACAAAAAAAAAAAAAAAAAAATTAGCGTGAAGAAATAGCCTGTAATACAGTTGAGGAACAGATAGATAGCAACTACTTTCATTTAAAAAAAAGGAAGAAGATATTTTCCTAAATTATTTTACAATACGAATACATATTAGGAAATGTAACAAAATAGATATTGTATAAGTAAAAAAATAGGAAGGTAAATAAGTTATTTTAAATATAACAAACTGTTCTATCAAATTTGTGTAAAAGATCCTGCCTCCAGTAACTAATTATTCCTACATCCAATATATTTATAAATAAGGAATGAGACCTGTGCAACCCATAGAAAAAAAAAAAAAAAAAAGAGAGAGAGAGATCCTACTGTAGTTGTTATACTACAATTATCTCCTACGATGACCACTAAAGCTTTTATGATTTAAAAACATTTCAGGCCACAACTGAACATACCATTGAGAAGTTCACTTGGAAAGTACAGGATCAAAGAACCCCCACACCAACCTCCCTCCCCAAAAGAAAATAAGAACAATGTAAGAATACTAAACAAATAAGATGAATCACAATCACCTTTACAAATTTCCAAAGGGCAGGTATAACGCTTAACAATATCCCAGTATTTGAACAAACCATTCCCAGTAGTAGAAACGGCATCACATAAGAATGAGATGACAACACGACACAAGCTTTGTAATACTTCCACCTCCAGTACTTCAACAGAAGATTTTCTTCTACCAAAACCGGGTAAAAACAAGAACCATGATGCAATTTCATGCTGGTTTCTGTCAAAAGCACCAGTACTTAACATAGCTGCTTGTGCAAGATGATATGCTTGATCCCTTATGTCACTGACTTGTGAAAAAACTAGCAAGTTCATGAATGTCAAAAGATGTTTATACATCAGGGGTGGAGTCCTAATCGGAGTTCTACTCTTTGCAGACAATCCAATGTATTCTGTTAACAAAGACAAAAGAGAGCACTGCAGATCTGTTTCTGATGCTAAAGGGCTGCTTAGAAGATTCATAAAAAATTCAAATGATCCCTCCAAGCCAGTGGGCATTATCCGCTGCAATAGAAGAATAAAAAGAACATTGTATGAACAACTACATAGGAGCCTTTTTGGATTGAAAGTAGAAATCAAAATAGATCCTTTACTTCCATCTGCAAGTCAGCACATCACAGTTCTTTTGACTACGAAACACATACTTCCAGACTGTTAGCAACACAGAAAAATACACATTCATAAATATATGTGTGTGTGTCTGTAAGCTAAAACCCACCTCAATCCCTTCCCTTGGAAGTCGTGCCCAAAGAGAAATAGACTAGAATAGAGCGTGAAGGCCATTGCTTTTATTATATATATTAAATTCTTAAGGACGAGGCAAATGGTAGTAAGGATGCACCCTGTGTTACTAAATGTATCAGGGTACGTTTTCTCTCCGGTCATTAAGGCATGCTTTGGCTTGAAAGCATCAAGATGCTACTTAAAATGCAATAGATGTATTGGTGTTCCCAAAAGAATTAAAGCCTGATAGTACTAGAAAATTGCACCCCAATTTAAATCAAATATGCTAAATTGGCATGTGTTAGAAAAAAGCAATAGAAAGTGAACCCTACATTGATTAAATAAAAATGCTAGACTTAAGTATCTAACCCTGTTTGTCATGCCCCATAAGGTCTCAATAGAAGATACAAAGAGAATGAGACTTAGAAAGTTAAACTTACAAGATAAGTTTTGAGAGCATAAAATGACATAGAAAGTAAACTTACAAGATAAGTTTTGAGAGCATCGAGTAGCCTACAGTAGAAGTACATCTCGGCATCCTTTAATGTATTAATATGTGTGGATTGAAGATCCAAACCCCAAATTTCTGCCATAACATTTATAGCATCCTTTTCATTATCCAATGCATCCGCAGTGGATGCACCTGCAACTCTTTCACTGTTCTTGGGTGAAGCAACATCGGGATCAAAATTTAACCCACCTACAACAATATCTGAGTCCTTGTTCCCCACATCTGTTTTCATTCTTTTCAAGCGTTTGGGGCTATGTTCAGGGAACTGCTCCAACTCAGCTGTCCTCTTTAAGCTTAACTGCTGACTTTTGGAGTGACTACTCAGAGAAGAAAGTAGAGTCAACATAACTTGATGATCAGGGAGCAAGTTTCGGACTTCATTTTGAAATTCTTGCTTGAAAGACTCCAATGCGTATACCTTCTCATTATCAGAATAACTTTGGTCTCTATGGTTTAAAACACCATGGAAGGAGTCCAGCAACTTCAGTGCTTCTAAAAGAAGCCTTAAAGATCCATGCTTCACTAGAAAATCAGAGTGAAGCAGCCCCTTATTGATTGCAGACCGGCTGAATGAATGAGGATACAAGCATTTCATGATATCCTGCACATCCACATTGTCAAACATGGCTGGATTGTGAGACTGAGAGTCATTGATACCAAAGGCATGCCCGCTGCGCACTGAGGAAACCAAGTTTGCTGCAAGAATAACAACAGAAAACCTGCAAATGCTTCAATTTCCACACAAATAAAGAGGAAAACGGGGACCATTGAAAATTAAGTATTAAACAATATGATGCACTGGTATAAATAAATCTGACCAGTTAGGTGATGAATAATCTTCAAGATTGTAGGGGAACTCTTCCATATATGTTGCACCAATAGACGGTCTTCCACTAACAATAGCCAAAAGAAGATCCCTGTGGTAGCCAATCTCAGTTGCTTTAAGCTTCTTCATCAGATCCACGAGTCGCTTTGAATTACCCTTCAGACTGTTTCTTCAAATCTGACATCAAGCCATTACTAGGATTGGTACAAACCATAACCAAAACATTGTATGCCAATTCCGCAGAAGGCCCACCATTTTCCCTTGCACAGACGTTAACTAATTGTTCCAAAGTAACACTGCCAAAGAGAACACTCCGAAGACTCGGGGAAACTGATGACTCTTCAACAAGAATCCTGTCCCTCAACGTGGACAAAACGTAGATAACAGTTTCATCATCATCATTCCCAATCCCGCGAAGAACACCAGAGTACATTTCCTTCTGACGTATAACCGACCTCAGCAATCCTGGCGTCCCCACCTCCAAAAATGACATTGCGAATCCCACAAACGACTTCCTCAACGACAGCTTCATTCTTTTCTCACCCTGCTTCTTTTTAAATTCACCCATCTTAAAAAAACCCTGGAGTTTGAAATCGAAATTCTTTGCAACCTCAGAAGCCAACCCCGACCCACGCCTCACAATGGAAGCCAAAAGCAAAAGCGCCGCCTTTTGGCGTTTTGCTTCTTTACTATTCAACTCCTTATACACATCCTGCAACTGTTCTTCAATAATCGACCGTGCAAACTTATCCAATGCCCGGCTAATACCCATCCTCTCCACATCATTCGGCATATACATCCCATCAGGATGACTCAAAACAGCAGCAATTAGTTTAAATACACAAAACATTCCGGGTTTCCCTCGCCGGAGCTTCCAAGCACTGAGAAGCTCCGAGCACTTACCCGAATTCTTCACATAATAGCGGAGCAAATCACCTCCGTTATCACCTTTCAGCAACTTAATGAACTCTTTTGTAGCATGAGAACATAATTTGATTTCAACAGAGTTAAGATTATGCAGTAGCTCCTTAAGTTTAGCTTCGTGGGTTACTTTAATTGTAGGTTTAGGCATTTCTTCAAACAACATAGCTGCAGTTCAAAAGAAAACACAGCAAAGAAAATAACTTCACAAATTTTCTCGGCAACCAAACAGCAAGTTAAAAGCTTTGCGTGCATGGGGATGCGTACCTTGATTTTCGGAGGCTGACCTTCCTTCCATTGAAGAACAGAGATAGTCTGGTTTGATTTGCTGTGAGGTATGGGGAATCAGGGTTTAAGAGAAATTAGGGTTTGAGTCCTGCTCAGGCCCAGGCCCGGCCCACCGGCCCAATAGTCAACAATATATCACAGTTCCGTAGGATTCACAACCCAACCAATATTCGTTTGCCACGTGTCGCATCACAACATCCCGTCTATATAAACCCTCCCTACCACTAAAAATATCTCTCCTTCTTTCTCAGACCCAATCCGGGATTCAGGTTTTCGGTTTTCCCAAACCGCGCCGCAGTCCTCCCTCCTCCTCCACGAGGACGCCTTTATCGCCGTACGTAAACACCCGCCTTTCTTCACCATGATGCAGCAACCATCAGGAGGATTGGTACCACAACAGATTCCGTCCGATCCGCAGCAGCAGTACCAGCAGCAGCCGCCGCAGCAGTGGATGATGATGCCGCCACAGCAGCAGGGCCAAGCCCCTCCGGCGCAGGCTGGGTGGCCCCAGCAGGCGCCTCAGCAGTACACGACCACACAGAATCCCGGCCCCGATGAGATCCGCTCCCTCTGGATCGGTGACTTGCTGCAGTGGATGGACGAGGCTTATATCCTCAGCTGCTTTGGTCCCACCGGAGAGGTATATACTCGCGCACGCATAGGATTATTTGGATTTATTTGTATGTGTCTGTGTGTAGGTACATCTAGGGTTTGAATTTATGTGAATTTCCTTTCGATTAATTTACGTCGATTGGTTTTTGATTGAAGTTGTTCTACTTCAAATTTGAAATTTAGGGTTTGGTTCTAGATGTGATATGTAAAATAAAAAACCGAAACTTTCTGAAAATTTTATTTTTGTAAAACACTACGATAAAAATATTAAACTATAGTTGCTTTGGTCAAGATTTCAACCAATTGTTGCTCTAGGGTTTGAGATGCCTATTGATATTTTCTATTAAATTCTAGGTATATGTGCTTTGTTTGCGGACCCCATTATGTTGTATTCATTTTTTGTTTTTGTGAGTTTTTTGTAGGCTGTGAATGCAAAGGTTATCCGCAACAAGTTAACAGGTCTGCCAGAAGGTTATGGTTTTATTGAATTTAGGTCTCGCGCTGCAGCTGAGCAGATCTTGCAGACATACAATGGAACTCTTATGCCTAACACGGAGCAGAATTTCAGACTGAATTGGGCAACCCTAGGTGCTGGTGAGAGACGACAGGATGATGGTCCAGATTTTACAGTTTTTGTCGGGGATTTGGCTGCTGATGTGACTGATTACATGCTTCAAGAAACATTTAGACAAAATTACCACTCTGTCAAGGGTGCGAAGGTTGTAACTGATAGGACCACAGGGCGATCTAAGGGATATGGTTTTGTTAGGTTTGCTGATGAAGGTGAGCAATTGCGAGCCATGACTGAGATGAACGGCCAATTTTGTTCTACTAGGCCCATGCGGATTGGGCCTGCGGCTACTAAGAAACCAGCCAGTGGTGGACAGCAATATCAGAAAGGTATGTATTCTAGTTAGTATTGCATAATGGTTTGTAATAGCCATACGAATATTTCTGAAGCTGAATTTGCAACTTCATTGCAGTTGATACTTTTCTTAGATGTTTGTTTTGTTCTTGTACTTTATGAATATCTTGCACCTTATGTTAACTATGGTTTGGTAAGTTGCACTAGGGCTTTTAATTTCTATTCTTGAGGTGACATTCTCACAAGTGTTCTAAATTTGCCGTCGTTTTAATTATTCAGTTGAAGATTGGCGGGACTTAGTCATTTCCTTCGAGTACTTTCCTTTGTAAACTTGGGCACATTTAATTATGTTAAAACATGCAAAAACTTATGTAAAACTCATGTTGTCTTAAAGCAGGACACCGAGAGGCTCTCATTTTGGAGGGCCTGGAACTGATTTCAGATGAAATGATTCCACATTATTGCGTGGCCTCATTTTAGGTCAGTTATTTTGTTTATGTCAGAAGCTTCTTACTTCTTTTCTCGTGGCATTTAATGCTACTCAAGAATTACCTTTCCAGTCAGCTTTACATTTATTCCATTACCAGTCAGCTTTACATTTATTCCATTTACCAGTCAGCTTTACTTTTATTCCATTTACCAGTCAGCTTTACATTTATTCCATTTGGCAGTCGGGTTTACATTTATTCCATTTGGCAGTCGGGTTTACATTTACTCCATTTCCGAAGTTTATATATCCTTCTTATAATACTTCGCTTGTGTTGAAGAACCAGTGTGTTTTTTCTTTGTGGATCAGTTCCACAATGTTCTCTATGTTTGATAGGATAGAATGTGTTCCCAAATTTCAGCCCTCATCTTAAGTCAGATTATAATTCTGCATGAAATGCTTAAACTATTAGTTGAAGCCGATGCACTAGTGCACATGTCTAATGAAAACACCATTAAATTTGGGAATAGTTATTAGCACTCCAGAAAAGACACTGCACTACTTATTTCTTTTCACTAGGGAGGAGTCCATAATGATTTTTTTTTCAGAGTGTCAATAGAAGCTCCCTTTTAATTTTTTTGTGAGCTGCTTATATGGTTGCATCTTATCGTCTGCCTCTCTTTGCTGTGTTTTAGGTAGAAGTGCCACTTTGTAATTTGTGGTAAAGTGGGATTCCAATATTGTATCAGGAATAGATCTATGAAGCACTCTTTTATTTAGACTTCTATGGGATGGAGTCTACTTGATCTGTCTAACTCTTTGAATAGATTTTGAGAAATCTATTCAATTGCGTGTTTAGATTTTTTTGTTTCTTCATTTTTTTAGTATCTGCTTTTGTAATTTATTATGTTTGATATTCCAATTGCCTTTCTGCTTTGACCTCTTGATAATTATGATGTTCATTGTTTCTTGTTAAAATAAAAATACTTTTTTGTTAGAAAATCAAATTGGTAGTGTTGGGAGGTGAATGTCAGTTGGGAGGTGCATCATGTAATATGCTAACCATAACAGTTAAATGGAATGCTTCGTTAAACATTGCCTGTTTGAAGTAGGAGGACATAGACCTTTAGACAAATGAGCGTATTATTAATGTATAGAAAATTTGCATGGAAGTTTGCACAGAGTTCTGTTTGACATGTCAACTTGACAAACTGATTCAATTTTAGATTTTGAGTTTTAGAACCATAATAGCATGGTGTAAACTGAACCATCAGTTCTTTGAATGTGTGGAAAACTTTATCCGTGCTACTAATACTAGCTCGCATAAATTAGTGCTTATGTGTTTGTTATTTGCAGCTTCGTATCCAAGTACTCAAGGAAATCCAGGCGAAGCTGATCCAAATAATACAACAGTGCGTAGTTTGTTCTAATGTTGGCATTGTACATTTCTTGCTACATGATAGTAACTCCTGAAACTTTCAAGTGCAGATATTTGTTGGGGGTCTGGATCCCAGTGTGAATGATGACATGTTGAGGCAAGTTTTTAGCCAGTTTGGTGAGCTTGTTCATGTGAAGATACCAGTAGGCAAGCGTTGTGGTTTTGTTCAATTTGCTAACAGGTAACAGCTCAGCACCACTGGTAGTCTTGATATAAGTTTCCTTGATGCTCTTGCTCTTTCTTTCCTTGTAAAATACTTATCATATGCATGTTTGTCATCTGCATGTACACTGCTTCAGGTCTTGTGCGGAGCAAGCATTGGGATCGTTGAATGGAACACAATTAGGAGGACAAAGTATTCGGCTTTCATGGGGCCGCAGTCCTACAAGCAAACAGGTTTTTATTTGCGACCTTATTGTTTTTCGACATTTTACTGTTCTACATACTCTGTATTAACCATATCTGTTGGTTGATTGGATTGGTTCAGAACCAGCCAGATCAAGCACAGTGGAATGGCGCTGGTGGTGCTGGATTTTATGGATATCCGCAAGGATACGATGCGTATTCATATGCACCTCCTCCTGCCCAAGACCCTGCCCTGTATTATGGAGGCTATGCTGCTGGATATGGAAACTACCAGCAGCCCGGTGCATATCAACAGCAACAGCAGGTAACTATCATCACTCGTTTAAATGCAGTTCTGTTACTTGATATCAAATTAGGCTTGTTCATGATGCGAATTTGCTTCCACCGTTGCAGTGATTTGCAGCTGCCTGCCTCATATGTTGAAAGCTGTGGGGGTATCATCGAGCTCCGGTGCATCTTAGGTTGCGGATTTAGTGTTGGCTGTTGTATGATGTTGTGGAGTGCCATGTCAACTTTCAATGTTTATTTTCTTTCTCTTTTGTGTTCCTCCTTCCCACCCTTGATTGCCCCGAGTGAGACTCGGGAGACGATGCACTTTATGTGTGTTATTTGCAGTTTTATATATTGAGCAGCGGGATATTCGTGTTTGTTTATTGTCAGGCTTATTTGCTATGTTATTTCCTTCACTATTTCCATACTTTCACACCATTACCGCTGCTACCTCTATAAACGCCATCGCAGCCTTCTACAGCCCGGAAAAAGTGAGTGTGATTAATATATTTAGCTCATATAAGAATCACGTGCGTTACACTGGACTGCGAAATTTGAATGTGATACTTATAAATTGATGCGTTCTAAAGTTAGACTCTTATAGTTATAAACTCATATTTGTGTAGCGGTTGTAGTATAAGTATTAAATTTATGCTGCGTCATTTTTATATATAAGTGTCGAACTCTCGCAAACTAATGTGGAAGCCCAGCCAAACTCCACCATAGTATTATCTGTATTGACGTAATCACCCGTCAGCATCACCACCTTTGGCTCCACCATTTGTACCACCATCATCGCACACCTACCCATCCTCATTTCCACCATCACCCCTACCAACCTTGGCTGCCACCACCATCTTCGTCGTTATCATTCCCAGCCACCATTTCCACCATCACCCTTACATTAAATTAGACTGGTTTAATATGTGGTTGGACTCGACTCTTGGATGACGATGACTCCGTGACGTCTGAGGATATGAGTTTTACATATTACGTGAATTTAGATCTGTGATTTTAGCATTAAAAAATAAAAAGATGAATGATTTTAGCGACCGAATCATAGGTTTTTATCTAATTTTGGTTGGGTGTGATTCTTTCCAAGCCATCTCAGCTTTTTTTTTTTTTTTTTTTTTTTTTTGGGTAAACAACCATCTCAGCTTTTCGTTACAAAGATTATGTTGGAATTCATCACTAAAGTCGGATTGCCCTTTGGTCCTTTCAGATTCCGTAGAGCCCACAAGCCATTTGGCCTAATCCTTGGTTGAAAATGGTTTTTGAACTATTTTCGACCATCTAGCTCTCTGACCTTTCGGTTGAAGAAGGTCTAAGAGTGGGGAGAGAGGTGGATAGGTTTGTTTTTTATTTTTTATTTTTAAATTAGAGATAATGAAATCACTTATAAGCGATGATTTAAAACAAAAAATAAAACACAATTTTATTTTGTAAAATTATGTTATTGTCCTTAATTATTTTTTTATGATAGAAGATAAAAATATATTTTCACCTTCTCTTAATTGATGAAGAGAATTTCATTAATATATAATTTAAATTAAAGATTAAGAGAAACACCAAAAAGAATTAAAAAAATAAAATAAACATTTGAAAAAAAAAAAAAAATATATAACTTGGGAGCATAGATAGTGAGGGATAAAAAAGAAAAAGAATGAAATTTCTTAAAGAAAAGTGTTATTAACACTTAAAAAATTTCATCATGCACTCCTCCTAAATGTATTTTCCTTTTCAAACATAAAAAATTTAGAATGTCAAATGAAATTTTGTGAGTGTCACTAATAATTCCGTTTCTTAAATATTTGGTATCATTACAAAACAGAGACACTAGCGCACAAGAAAGCGATTTTCCTATTTCGAATTCCCTGGCGGCAGCTTCATCAGATCTCTTCCCTTCCCCTCTTTATCGAACCTCCAAAATCCGACTGCAACCAGACACGGAGAAGGCCAAAACTTCCTGGGTTGGATCGGAAAAAGACAGAGAAAATAGAAAAATGGGTTGCAGAAACAGAGACTTCACAGACGACGAGACTGTCTCTTCGTCCTCTCTTCTTCGCTGAGCGAGGCCTTGCTCTTTGCCACCATGTGCATCATTGGCCTCCCAGTTGATGTCCACGTCAAGGACGGTTCTGTGTATTCTGGAATCTTCTACACTGCCTCTGTGGAGACTGAGTACGGTGTGTTTCTTTTCTATTGAGTTTTTGTTTTCCTTTCAATGCGTTTTTGAAAATGGTGAATTCTTTATAACTGTTTCGGGATATTCAATATTAAGCTCAACTGTATCTGGGTTTTTGTTATTGTGAGGAATTGTATCTGGGTTTTCGTTTTCTTGAGTGGTTATTGTGATCCTGTTGTGTTTGGGATGGAAAGGATAAGATGGTATTTGATCTGGGTTGTTTTATTGGGTTTCTCGGGTTTATAGCGGGTTTTGTTCATGATTGCTTCTGATTTTCATTGAGCAAGGGTGAATTATAGAGAATGCGCAGGAGGATAGAAAAATTGGAATTTTGGCTGTGAGATTTAGTTGTTATATTGGATTTGGAAAGACTGGATCCTTTTGTCTAACCGCTGAGTATGTCGCGTTCGTGCTCTTAATTAGATTATCCGGCAGTTTAATTCTGAATACACACGGTTGGTGTGTTATAAACTTACAATGATCCTTCTCTCTCACACACAAGCACTCAAGGCACATGATTCTGAGCGAGATTTATTGAGTCAGTTTTTGTCTCGTTTAGGTATTGTTTTGAAGAAAGCAAGGATGACCAAAAAGGGGAAGAGTGATGCTAATGTAGGAAATGGGGCACTGATCGAGACTCTTGTGATTCGCTCCAGTGACCTTGTCCAAGTTGTTGCTATGGTATGTAATTCATTTCATTCCTCTTTTTTTTCTTTTCTTTTTTTCAGAATCAACTTAAGCAATCTGTCTTAGTTAAATCTGGCTCTTTGTACATCGTTCAGGGAGTTTTGCTTCCAGCTGATGGTGTTACTGGAAATATAGCTGGCGACGAAACTGAAGCTGTTATGGATACTGTTTCTTCTGATGTGTGCTCAAAGAATGATGTAAAGAAGCCAATTGATTCTGCCACAAATAAGAAGAAAATGGACGGTTTTAGGTATTTTCTGAGTGTTGAACTTGTATGTACAATTATCTGCACTAAGTTGTGACACTAAGTTTTGTGGATCAAAGAAGTTTTTTGTTAGTTCGTTTCAACTGAAAATATCAAGAGTTTTTCAGCATAGCAACTGATTGTACTGGCAGATAGCTTGTGCTATTGCTTGTTTTACCTGCTGGAACGGATACCGTTATATAATATGTACCTTAGTTATTATTGTAAATTCAATTTTGTGTAAAGTTATGTATTCATAATTACCTATGTAAGCAGGGGCCCAATGCAAAATGGAAATGGCCTTGCTCATGGTGTTGCCCCAAAGAGAGCTGTAAAGGAGCATGAAGGGAGGAAATTTCCTCTGAAACATGCGATAAATGCCCTGGAAGTTAAAAATGGAAAAATTGACAGGATAAACTTATCAGAGGTAAATATTTTCTATATGCATAATTCTATCTATATACTTTATAAGCTGAGTTTATTTCTTAAGTCATATATTACCATTCCATATCTTTTACGAGCTTGTTTTTCATTTTATAGAAATTAAGGAAAAATCCTATAATCTATTGAAGGGAGCAAAAACGTGGCCAACTTTAGCACTCTAATTAAATGCAGAAAAAGCACTTTGAAAGGAAAAACTAAAATGGAAATTGGATATGAAATTCAATCAAGAACACCTAAAAATGCAACAATGTTGCATAAAATGAATTCAATTGATCTGTGGCAGTTGACATGTCATAAAAATGAAAGCAGAATGCTTATTCACCATTTCAGTGAGCCTTCCTGCAAAAGCCCTTTTCTTTTTCTCCTAGTGATTTATAGCTTTAATAAAACTGGCAAAATCTTGTAAACATCAATGAGGATAAAAAGAAAAGCTAAACTGTAGAGTTTAAAAACTGGTTGGCATAAAATTAAATGATTTACTTTCTGCTTCCCTCATAAGAATTTTAGCACCCCCTTATGGCTATCACTGCACCAGATTCTTTGTTTTTAGAAACTTATTTGAAGAAGCAATCAAGTTAAAAATGGTGAGCAATTGACCAATTTTTTATTTTAATATTTTAGCTCTCCGTGTCATATTTGAATTTTTCTTCACCACTAGAGAATCCTTAGTTCTTAACACACTGGTAGAATTCAACACAGATTGGAAGGTTGTGATTGCAGGGATTTGAACCCTGATCACGCCTTCTTAACACTTTTTTCTGTTGGGGGCATTTGTCGTTTGCAAGTATAATGTTCCTAACTTCACACAGTTTCTCATTGCAACTTAAATATATTCTTAATGTTGGAGGCTACTAGAAAAAGTTTTCCAAATAATAATCCATGTACTCTTTGAGCTACTCCCAAATTCACCTTAAGTTGCATGCGGTGCCTGCGCTCTGTGCACTATGTAGGGTGACTTAAAAGTCCACAATGATGGGCATTGTGCTGATTAGACCAACCAAATCATACCAACTACTGTATACAATGAACAGTGTGGTTGCTTTACCACTATTTTCAAACACTTAAATTGTTAGGATGGAGCAACAAATATTTTTCTATTCTAACATGAGTTAAAATGTATCACATTTAAAAAGAATCTCTAAGTACATGAGTTGAAATGGCATTAGAATATCTTATATAGGTCCATGATGCCGAGTATGTGTTTTTTTATGGACGCAAGTTGTATAAAGCATTTTCAGGTTTTTGTTACAACTTTATTTTTTTTCCAATGCAGATTAAAGAAGCCCCTAGCGCCCAGTTAATGGGAGGTATGGGTTCTATTCTTATTTCTGTTAATATTATTTCATACTTGGGGAGTGACACTTTGGGTGCTAAAGCTCTCTGCCTTGACACTGGTATCAGGAGTGCTCACGTGCTGATAAAACTCTACCAGCTGTTATGGCATGGAGTTTAGCTATACAGATCCCATTTGGATAATCTCCTATATCTGTGACACAGAAACATGGTTGCCGGCATGTGCTCTCTGTGTCCAACACTATCATACTATTATACATTAATTGCTATCTGTGCTCAACACTATCATATTATCGTACAATAATTACTTTTGCGTACTGTCTGCTATTATTTTCTTTTAATCATCAGGCTCCGGTCAATTTTTTGGCAGACAGGTTGAAAATGATGGGTCCTCAGGGAAACAGGATGATTTCAAACAGAAACTAGAGTTTTATAGGGAAGAAAGTGTATGTAAAGATAACCTCTGCCAAGATTGTTCTCACATTGTAATCATGTTATATGATAATAGTGCAAATTTTTTATGCAGGCTGATAAAGTTCATGATACAAAGATCCCATCCAAGTTATTACCTCACGAAGTATCTCATGATCCTGCTACTGTAATTGTTAATACAGAAAATCAATGTTGTGAAAGGACAACTTCAGCAGACATTTCATCTGGTGTTGTTTCTTCAAGTGTCTCAACTTCGTTGAATCCGCCCGTGGATGTTTCATATCACCAACTGGTGGCAACATCAACTGAAATGGCCCCTCCTCAGGGTTCAGAATTTACTAGAAGTACCAAGGTAAAACTACCACTGGATGAACCATGTTCAATTCATCTTGAATTATCAATTGATTTCATATTGGTTCAGTATATAGTTTTGGGACGAAATTGTTTCATATTCTTAACTTAGAATGGTTGACCATCTGTTTATGCTTCTAATTTATGCACCACACGTTGGGCCACTAAGAACCTTGTGTTAATTCTGTTGGTAGTTGTGTTGTCATAGATTATGGTTTTTGTGGCCTAATACTATGGAAACCTTAATGCCTGGCGATCCCAAGTCCAACTATTCTAGTTAATATATGGGGTGACGTAAATAAGTTTTTAGAAATTCATGATGTGTATGCTATTTACATAACCAAGTCGATAAGATTAATATTATTTGGCATTCTTTCTTAGGAATTTAAGCTCAACCCAGGAGCAAAAACATTCTCACCATCGTTTACGAAGGCCACGACATCAACCCCTCCCCCATTGCCAACAGTGGGAAGCATGGGTTATGTACCAAACAACTCCCCCATGGTACCTGTTGCTGCTGCTCAGCCAGGAGTTGGATCAAATCCTTTTGCATCTCGTACCTCTCTACCTGTTAAGGTGGTCCCCATTAATAATTTCACAAATGGAAATGGTGGCAGTGGCTCTCAATTTTCACAACCTGTATGTATTGTAGTCATTATCGAATTCATATGGTTATTATATGATACAAATGTAAGCTTTACTTGTAAGTAGTTGCAATTGGCAAGGTTACCGTGTGTTCATATGTGCATACATATGTAAAGGCTCAGCTTCACTCACTTGAAGCTCACCACCAATATAAGTGTGTGTGTTCTTCAGTTTACTGAGTAATGGAAACGAAAATCGGCTCACCAATTGTTTGATCAAGTTGATATTTATTTTGAAAAGATAAGTACACAATATTGTTTTGAATATCAGCAGTTGTTTGATCCAGCAGTTGGTGAGCTTGGATTTGATGCTTGTTGGTGAGTAGGAGATTGATGAGTCTATGCATAGATGTATGTTTGTGTTTTGTTAAAATAACAAGGGTTTAAAGCACGGTACATGTCTTGTTACAATAAATAGTATAGAAATATAGAATACATAATATATGACAGAGGTGTTGTGGCACTAGTTAGGATTAATCTTAGGTTGTTTTCTGATTATAGATTGTTGGACACGTGGGGAGCAGGGCACAGACGCTTAGGTACGCTGGTCAGTATCCTGTTCAGGCTGCACCTCCCTATGTTCATCCCAATTCTCAAGCTGTAAGTAATTGAAGGATATTAATACCATCTATATGTCAACTTCTTTTAGGCAGTTACATGTTTTTACTCCCTTTTTCTGATTCACTAACCCTCAGGTTATGGTTGGACGATTCGGGCAGCTTGTATACGTGCATCCAGTTTCTCAAGTAAGATACTATGGCATACGAAAACTCCTACGATTAAAGCTGTCTTTTGATATGATTTCTTTAGTTAATCAAATTCGGGGTGGTAACTCCATGCTTTTTAGGACTGGCATTGAGTTGTATTTGACTAAGACATACCTGTTGGTTGTTGATACATTCTAGTGGTATGAGTCCCAACATTCTTTGAAATGAAATAACAATGATAGTGAAAGACAACAAAATATGACTAGTAACAATTAATAATGGTTTTGTATCTTTTATTTACAATTGTTTAATCTGCCTTCCTTTTTTATTGAAGGATTTGGTGCAGGGTGCAACGGCTATCTCACCGCTGTCTGCTCGTCCTATGTTGACTCCACATCAGGTCCAGTTTCCCAAGCACCAAGGTATGAGCTAGTTATTACGTTCACAATGAATCTTCATTGAACTAGGAAGGAAACAAAAATTTGATGAAGTAAAGAATCATCGTGATGACCATTTGACTAAATTATTGGTTGATTTCCTTATGCTCCAAACATAATGAAAGGAAAACCCAAGTATCTAAATTCTTAGAATTGGAAAACTGAGTAATAAAATTATAGGTTTTTGTTTTGCGAATTCTTTAACTGTCATGATCATGGATTCGTTCCTCGGTTTTAATGCAGGGACTGCACCAAACCAAGCTTTTCAGCTCTGTGTTCCTCCACCGTTCATGGCTACAGGACAGCAGCCTTTCCCCAATGCCAAGTCGCATCCCATTTTTGCGACCTCCCTTCCCTTCTAATCGTCTCATTGAAGTCCCAGGATCTAATGATCTCGTTTGCCCCAACCCCATATTTTGGTGAAAATGTTTCTTCGATTGATCACCTCCGCCAGGGTCCTTTTTCCCATATTTATATTATAGATTTTGAAAATTTTGGCCTTAAATTCTTTCAACCTGCATTCATTCATTGTGTTATTTTCTATACCTTAAAGTTGAGAGAACTTTTGCAAAAGGGTTTGCTAAAGGGAGTGAAGCTTACATTGTTTTTTTTTTTTTCGAAATGTAGTGAACTTTTCTTGCACGAAAAGGGAGGGGGGTTCGTGGTTTTTGCTTCCATTTGAACAATGTTGGACAATAGAGTGACTTGTAAATTATTCAAACAACGAATGTTTGTATTTGTTCGTTTGATTTTGAAATTTCACATCCCTCTGCTGATGCATGTTTTTATTCTATATCTTTTACGATGATCGAAAAAATATGGACCGCGCGACGTTGGTGTGGTGTGTACGTACGTGGAGTTGAAGAGGAGGTCGCAGAGGGTTTGTTAGAGAAGGCAGGAAGGGAGACGGGGTGAGGAGGAAGAAGTGGTCGAGGGAATGCGATCACACATGTCAAAGAATCCTGCTTCATTTGACCGGGAGGGCCTCAACAAGGCCCGGAAGCTTGCGGATTCGCCCAAAAACCCACATCGTCCTAAATTTCTAAAAACTTATTTGGTATCCTATTCGAAATTTTTATCATTTCACAAACATTTTTTAAGAATATTTCTTGAAAACAATTTTCTTTAATACTTAAAAACTTGATTGGTATGCGATTTAAAAATTTTAAATCTTATGACTTGAACTGGACAAAGAGATCCAAAAAGAGGGTTGCAAGAGAGGGAGAAAGAGGAGAGAGGATTGGAGGAGATAAATAGAAAGAGGAGTGAGGAAGAACTGAGAGAATAAAGAGAGCAGATTGGAGGAGAGACGAAAAAGGTAAAAAAAAACAAAAAAGAGGAGAGAAAAAGAAGAAAAGAGAGAGAGAGAGATTTGGAGTGAGAAGGCAGGAGGGAAAGAAAAGAAATAAATGAGTTTAAGTTTAAAAATTATAAAAGCTCACTTTTTGTTTTTTCAGAGAATATATTATATTTTTTTAGTTCAGTTTTTTAAAATAATCATACCAAACAAATTTTTAAGACTTAAAACTTGAAAATTGTTTTTGAGTTTAAAAAGTTGAATTCAAGTAAACTACCAAACAGATCTTAAAGTTTTTGCTCCACACAGTAATTTTAAATTTCTGTGTTTATAAATCTAAAAAAGACAATTGATTTTGTCCAAAATTCAAATTTTTGTTTCACACGATGATTTAAATTTATGTGTTTATGAATTCAAAAAAAAAAAAGAAAATTAACTTTTTCCAAACTTTCTTCTCCTCCATAATATATTAAAGCCTACTATGTACGTGCCATCTCTCTCAGCAGCCCACCCGAGAAATATATTTCATCTTGTCAAGAACGTCCAAGGAAAACCTAGTTATATATACCTACCTTATGCATGGCACCTTCTAATAACTTTTCCGTGGGTTACAAGTTTCATCCAAGAGACGAGGAGTTGGTGGAATATTATCTGTATAGCAAGGTTCGTGGTGCACCGTTTAGGGATGAGCATGCTATTCCTGAGATCGATCTTTACGGTAGCATGGAGGCGAGAGATATAAGGAATAACAATGGCGGACAAAATTTAGAAAAGGATGAAGACCTTTATTTCTTCACCAAGCTGAAGCCGGCCAGCGCCAAGGGTACGGGCTCGCACGATAGGGTCTGGGACATGGAAAGGCGAGAACTCAGGGACCAAAGTCGAAGATCCTAAGACTGGGAAGGCGATAGGTTTCTTGAAAAGGTTTCAATACAGGAATACTATATTTCGTCAAGAAAGCGGTTGCTGGATTATGCGCAGGTTTAGCCTTGATCCTAAACTGGTCAGGCACATTAAATCAAGTTCAACTAGTCGTCAGATGAATATGTAATCTGCCGGATTCGAAAGAATTATGACAGAAAGAGATAGGCGGATGATCGGGATCATAATCGCGAGGAGGCTCCTTGAGTGGTTCAATCCAAGAGAAACAAGATTCAAAGGCTATCAGAGAATATTGATGAATCTTATGTGGCTCCCATGTCTTCTGAGGTTAATATTGATCACTACAATCAGCAGCAGACTAATATTAATGCAACCAGTACTAGTAGTAGTATTGCTGTGACTAATGTGGATCAGCCAAAGTACTCCTATCATGAGCCAGCACAGTACTATGAGGTTATTAATCAATATGATATTCCACTGCAGCAGGAGCAGACAACTACTACTATCGATCATGCAAATGTTACAAACTTGCCGACTGGGCTCACTGAGCAGCAACGCTACTTTGTTACACAAGAACGAACTGCGGCTTCTTCATCACTAGCTATGCCAGACAATCAAGAGCAACAAATGCACTTGCCACAACACTACCATGATACACAAGAACCAATGACACCAATGACGGCTATGGCGAGGCCATATGATTTCATTGCAGAAGCAGCATGTCTTTCGACTCTTTCCCAACCAAATTCTATTGCGGACCCAACTATGGCATCTTCACTAGGCATGGCTAGACAAGAAGACTACCTTCAGCACAATGGTTTTGTGAATAATGCTTCGACGGACATGCCACAATATTACTACTCCAGTCCACAAGACCCAAGTAGTGGTACTGATTCCTCTCAATATGATCCGCCGCAGACTGGTACGACTGGTTTCGCTGATCAGGCACACTATTTTGTTACACAGGACCACCAGCCAGACTAATTTGTAGCCGATCCCACCGCGGCTTCTTCACCAGCTAGTCCATCCAATCTTGATCAGAATCATCAAACCAACGATAAGGATCCAAATCCACTTCTTAACTTTGACTACACCCAATTTTATGATTGTGATGGTGATGACATCATGATAGACTTGGACGACCTTTGGAACAATATGGATCAACCTGCTGCAGTTCTTTAATTATGTTGTTGTAATTTGTAGATTTACATTTGAACAGTATTATCGATTTACACTACGATTCCTGATGTCATACTTCATATACAACATTTAATTTGTAAGTAATCCATAGCTCTCTTGGAATTTTTTTTCCGTTTTTTATATATACATGCATGCAATGTTGTTTTTGTCAAATCTGCTTCATTTTTCCCCATTTTTTAGATGTGTATATATATATGTTATATAAACCAGGGTACCATAATCTGAGGGTTAGTTTATTGGTTAGAATTAGGTTAGGCTCATGGAACAAAAGGGCACCAATTTTTGAAGGTGAATTTTATTGGAAGAAGTTCTAGGGTTAGTCTAAATCCTAGTCGGCAAGCATGGGTGTATGTATGGTATGTAGGTCATGCGTCTCTCTTCCCTGTTCATGATTGAATCGTACGGATTCACCATTGGAGCAAACATGGCTGCACCCGTTAAAGTGTAACCTGCCATCATTACAACTGTAGTCATCATTGCCATAAAGGAAAGACAGCAAGGGTGTGCACTCTGGAAAGGAATGTTGCATGTGATTGCTGACTCCTGGACAGCAGGGAGGTCATTTACTTTGTATTATTGCTGCATATGTGCTGTTGCATCCGGTTACAAAGGTGTAAAGCTTTCTTTGTATTGTGTATTAAAAAGCCTTCCCATAAGGCTTTCCATGCAATGAGATGTATTACAATTCAAATCAGAAAATTCAATATGGTATCAGAGCAGTGATCTCTATCGACCTGCTTCTGAGTACCGTCTTCCTGTTTCCCTTTCTTATCCATCATGGCTGAAGAGAGCTCCGTGCATGGCGAAGAAGTAAACTCGCATGCTGCGTCTTCTTCATCTCATCTAGACGTTGATATCAATCCAAATCAACGTCTCAGTTCGGTCCTACTAAATGAGTTCAACTATCTCCCGTGGGAGAGAGCTGTCTCTCTTGTGTTAGGAGGACGATCGAAGCTTGGTTATGTTAATGGCGTGATTCCAGCACCTGATGTGTCCTCATCCGATTACAATGATTGGCTGTGCAAGGACCAGCTGGTCATGTCATGGCTGCTCAACTCTATGGATCGAAAGATTGCAGAAATCTTCAGTTATGCGGAATCTTCATACGTTCTCTGGAAAAATCTCAAAGAGATGTATGGAAATCAGAATAACGCAGCTCGAGTGTTCCAGCTAAAGAAGGATATTGCTAGTCTACAACAGGAAAGGAACTCGTTTGTGCATCATCTTGGCAAGTTGACCACCATGTGGAATGAGTTGAATGTTTATCGGCCACACACCATTGACGCTGCCGTGTTGATCAAGAGAGCTGAGGAAGATAAAATCTTTCAGTTTCTAGCAAGTTTAAGCTCTGAATACGAAGATCTCAGGAGTCATGTTCTCATGAATCCTGAACTTCCTTCCTTCTCAAGTGTGTGTGCCACTATCCAAAGGGAACAAACTCGCAGAAAAATCATGACTGTGGAATTAAAGTCAAATATACCAGAATCTAGGGTATATTTCTCAAATCACAAGGCTAGTGAAGAGAGGAGATATAAAGGAAAGAAACCCACTGTGAAGTGTAGCTATTGTGATAATGGTGGACATACACGAGATCATTGCTGGATTCTCCATCCTAAACTAAGGCCCAAGCATTGGAGGGACAGCAACAAGAGCTTCATTAGAGGAGCACACAACTCATCACCCAAGGCAAATCATACCATGACCTCTCATTCCGAGGAAGCACAGATGTTCACCTCTAATCCGGCCATGCTGATAAATGAATTTGCTGCCTTCCTTCACAAGAAACAAGGTGGTGGGGAGAATGAAGGATCAACCAGTCATGTTGACAACAAACCAGCTGCTCTACTTGGGCAGTTTGCTGGTTTTTTGGCTGGGAAAGAAGGCGTGACACAACAAGATATTCCAGGTATCTTACGATCCTTCTCAACTGCTCTTAAAATAGGTAATATGCATGATTATTGGATTATAGATTCAGGAGCCACTGATCATATGACCAACAAGTCCACAAATCTGTATGATTTTAAAAAACTTTCACGTCCATCCCAAGTGTCAGTTGCTAATGGCAAGGGTGCCATGGTTGTAGGGAAAGGAAAAATGCATTTGATCTCTAGTAATGTCGAGTCTGAGGCCCTATATGTTCCTTCATTCCCTTTTCAGCTTTTATCTGTTGGAAAAATCACAAACTCACTAAACTGTACTGCCATCTTCTCTCCAAAAACTGTGATTTTTCAGGATATCACCACCAAGAAGATGATTGGTGAAGGTTTTTTTCTAAACGGCCTTTACTATCTTTTCCAGCAAGTTCAAACTCCCAAGGCTTTTCAAGTCACCTCAAGCCTGATTCAGGAACGACAACTTTGGCACCGACGCCTTACACATCCTTCTGATAAAGTCCTATCCCTTTTGTTTCCAAACCTGTGCAAGGTTACAAGTTCTTGTGATGTGTGTCATTTTTCTAAATTCACTAGATTACCTTTCACCTCCTCTCTATCTAGGGCTAGTAATCCTTTTGAAATCGTGCATTCCGATGTTTGGGGACCAGTTCTAGAGTCCTTTGACGGATATAAATACTTTGTAACCTTTGTGGATGATTTCACAAGGATAACTTGGTTATATCTTTTGAAATTTAAAAATGAAGTGTTGGAAGTTTTTCAAGATTTTCATAGACTTGTAAACACTCAATTTGCTTCAAATATTCATGTCTTACGATCAGATAATGGCTCCGAATATATGTCCCATAATATGTCTCATTATCTAAGCACACATGGCATACTACATCAAACCAGTTGTGTTGGAACACCCCAACAAAACGGGGTAGCAGAAAGGAAGAATAGAGACCTACTTGAAAAAACTAGGGCCCTGATGTTTCACTCTGGTGTGCCAAAAAAATTCTGGTCTCAAGGTGTTCTCACTGCTGCATATCTTATCAATAGATTGCCCAGTAAGGTTTTGAATTTTAAATCACCCTATGAGATCCTAAAAGGCAGACAAATCGATTTGTCACACTTACGAGTGTTCGGATGTACATGCTTTGTTCACATTCAAGAACAAAAACATGACAAGCTAGAACCACGGGCTGCCAAATGTGTTTTCTTGGGCTACTCTTCCACTCAAAAGGGTTACAAATGTTACAATCCCGCAACTAGGAAAATGGTTGTTTCAAGAGATGTAAGATTTGAGGAACCAATGCCTTACTTCACTCAACCTCTGGACCACTCTCAAGAGGGGGAGAACATGCTTGACTTGTTTCCAATACCATATCCATGTAAAGAAGACGCAACGGGTGTCATAAGGGACCAAACACTGAATGAGGTCCATTCTCAGTCTCACAACTTGCAGAACACACCACCAGTGGCACCTGATGAATTTATCTTATCTTATCTGAACCCTCAAGAAGTCCTTCCAACCAAGAGACTGCTCAACTACCAATGGTTCAACCTCCCACAGTTCGTCGAAATCCTTCCCGTGATAGGAGACTCCCATCCAAGTTAAATGATTATGTAACTTACAATGTCAGGCATCCCTTAACTTCTGTTATTAATTACAGCAAAGTGTCACCTTCATTTGCTGCATTCCTCAATACAGTTACTGAGACCTATGAACCTCAAAGCTTTCAAGAAGCTAAATTACATAGCGAATGGAGAGCTGCTATGGCAGAAGAGCTTCAAGCTCTTCACGAAAACAACACCTGGACCATCATGAAGCTTCCTAAAGGAAAGAAGGCTGTAGGAAGTCGTTGGGTGTACAAGATCAAGTTCCATTCAGATGGCACGATTGAAAGACACAAGGCTTGATTGGTTGCTCGTGGATTTACTCAGACTTATGGAGTAGATTACAAAGAGACCTTTGCACCTGTGGCAAAGATGAATACAGTGAGGGTGCTGTTATCTGTTGACATTAACAATACATGGCCTCTCTTTCAAATGGATGTTAAAAATGCCTTTTTACATGGGGAACTAGAAGAAGAAGTTTTCATGAAAATCCCTCCAGGTCATCCTCAATCAAACAATCCAGACCTGGTGTGCAGACTTCATAAAGCCATTTATGGCCTCAAGCAAAGTCCCCGAGCATGGTATGCCAAGCTCAGTCATGTCCTAGAGGGAGTTGGTTTCTCTCGGAGCAATGCTGATTCCTCCCTATTTGTGTGATCGGGCAAATCTGGTAAACTTGTGGTGCTTATTTATGTCGATGACCTAATTGTTACAGGTGATAATGTTTCTGAGATTAGTGCTCTTAAACAATATCTCAGTCACAAATTTGCTATCAAAGATCTCGGCACTCTTAAATATTTCTTAGGAATCGAGGTGGCACATTCCCACAAGGGCTGTTTTCTAAATCAGCGCAAGTACATCATTGATCTTCTCCATGAGGCAAACATGACAGATTGTAAACCTGCTCGAACACCTTTGAATAGCAACTTGAAGCTGCAGTCTCATGGTGATCTCATTCCTAATATAGAGTATTATCAGAGATTGGTTGGCAAGCTTATTTACCTAACTATCACTCGTCCTCATATATCATATGCTGTGAGCCTTGTTAGTCAGTTCATGCATGCTCCAAACACAGATCACATGAAGATTGTTCACCGTGTGCTTCGCTATCTGAAGGGTTCCATTGGTAGAGGGATCCTCATGCGCAATAATGGTCATACTCAGATCTCAGGATATACATATGCAGATTGAGCAGGGAACTCTCTCGATCGCAAGTCTATCACTAGTTTTTGCACATTCGTAGGGGGTAATCTTGTAACCTGGAAGAGTAAGAAACAAAGTGTGGTTGCACGCTCAAGTGCAGAGGCAGAATATCGTGCTATGGCATCAACGGCATGTGAACTCACTTGGCTCAAAACTCTACTCTCGGATCTAGGGTTTCCTCACCCGCAACCTATGTCCCTTCACTAGTGACAATCAAGCAGCAATGCACATCGCATCAAATCCTGTCTTTCATGAGCGAACTAAACACATTGAAGTTGATTGTTATTATGTTCGGAATCAAGTGCAGTCCAAGGTAATTGCTACACACTTCATTCACAGTCATGATTAGCTAGCAGATATCTTCACCAAAGGACTGGCATTTACTACTTTTCATCATCTCCTATCCAAGCTCGGATCAATTGATCCCTTTGATCCAGCTTGAGGGGGAGTATTGGAAGAAGTTCTAGGGTTAGTCTAAATCCTAGTCGGCAAGCATGGGTGTATGTATGGTATGTAGGTCATGCGTCTCTCTTCCCTGTTCATGATTGAATCGTACGGATTCACCATTGGAGCAAACATGGCTGCACTCGTTAAAGTGTAACCTGCCATCATTACAACTGTAGTCATCATTGCCATAAAGGAAAGACAGCAAGGGTGTGCACTCTGGAAAGGAATGTTGCATGTGATTGCTGACTCCTGGACAGCAGGGAGGTCATTTACTTTGTATTATTGCTGCATGTGTGTTGTTGCATCCGGTTACAAGGGTGTAAAGCTTTCTTTGTATTGTGTATTAAAAAGCCTTCCCATAAGGCTTTCCATGCAATGAGATGTATTACAATTCAAATCAGAAAATTCAATAAATTTATTTGTCTGAGTTGGATTGCCAAGCAGGATGGAGAAATCGGTCACTAGTCACAGAGTTAATCGGTATATCCAAAAAAGTTTCAAAAAATGGTAAAAAAAGTTGGACAATCAAGTTCAATTGCGTTATATATCAAGTTGATTGGCCAAAAAACTGGTAAGCATGTTGGACTTTGTTGCATATCTAATTGGTCCTGGTAATGGAAATTGTAAACCAGTTGAAAATACGAGTTCCACAATTTAACGAATCTATTTCTTCGTCTCATAATTGCTCACTTCTGTACAGTACCACCATATAATTACACATGATCAGTTGATCTAACAGCACTCGGTCTTTACCTAATTAGAGGTTTCAGTTTTAACTCACATGGATGCAAAGAAAAGTGAGTCAATACAAAATTATGACTCATTGTGGATTGTTATGTGGATCAACACCTGATTGAAAAAGTACATCTGTAAATATCGTATCGTTTTTTAAAAGGAAAACAAAAAAAAAAAGAAAAGAAAACTAAATACTACTAAGTAGCTGTCCTTTTCCATATTATGTAAATTGTAAGAGCAGACAAAGGATAATATAAACTTGACCAACCTCCATAACAAATGCTCAGAATTCTTTCAATTAGAAACAGAGGAACAACATAATATGATTTTTTGTTAAAGTGAACAATACTAGGTTTTTCGTTCAAGTGAATGTTAAGGACAAAATAAAGGGTAAAGTGAATAGTACCAAGTTTGACTTTTTAGTGTAAAAATATAGTTTTTCATTAAAATGAACAATACCGTAGGCTTTTCGTTAAAACTCCTATTTAGAAATCCCAGATTTACTTGTCCCCTTGTTTAGTTGTTTAGCTTTCAACCATGTCCTGGATTATTGGTCGTGCCGGGTTGGCCTGGATTTTTACCTTGTGTTTTCGAAGCTGGAATTTTCTCTAGCCTCCAGAGTATTGAGACACGTCAAGTTCTTTAACCGTTAAATCTTTGTTTAGGAACACAAAAACAAAGATCTAACACTTAGAGAACCCGAGAATATCTCATACGGAACACCACAAAACAAATTATCACTCTTAAATAAACTATAAAATGGGTAAAAACATATCTTCCACAGCTCCTAATTTAAGAAAACAACCCTTCTATATACTTATTATCCAACATCCTTTGTTTAAAAACACAATCTTTCCACACACTGGTCTGATTACCACATCGTGCAATGGTGTCCATCACCATAGCATGTACACAGTATCCATACAAGGTGGCAACCATAAAAGCAAACACTTCATGCCTCGGAAGGTTTTCTTGAATGATCGGATTCTTCATCTCCGAGCGCAGTTTGGCTTGGTTCATCCGACTTCACTCTCGAATCTGTGGTTGACTCGCTTTCCCTCATGCTTTCCTGCAAAACCTTGTTGATTTTACAGCCAAAAGAAGACAAAAAAGAAAGAAACTTGTTGAGATGTTTAGAATCAGTGTATATGTTCGGATAATAAGTTAACTACTATTGCATAAGGATATGTGTCATAGACGAGTCCTTTTACCTGCAACAGCTCAGACATTTTTCCATTTCCATCGTCCTCCGGCGGTTTTGAAAGTGGCATAGAGTGTTCTTTAGGCTGTATGGCTTGCAGAGGCTCGATTACTAGAGGCTGATCCATATTGTCCTCCAGCTCACTGCCAGTTGACTTGCTACCCTCAATGTTTACCTCAGTTGAATGTGCGGGGGCTTGTGAGGGTGTATCAATCCTCTTAACTACCTCGGTAACCAATTTTTCAAAAGGTATATTTGGGAGTCTCGTTGATTTGGCTTCTGCCTTCAGTATATCTGTCGATGGTTGATTACAAGTACCATTCTCATTTTGTCCACCTTCGAAGACCAACGATTGATTTCCAACTGTCGGAATCTGGTTGGTAGATATCGACCCATTTGATGGAGGAACTGAAGGAACCTGCTTAACTTTTGAAGTTGCCAGATCTGAAGATTGGTTTGCGACTTCATTGGTGAGTGGCACCCAGTTGGTGCGTATGGACCCATTAGTCGGAGAAGCACCCGGTGCAACAGAATTTGGTAAACCAGTGAGTGGTACCCCTTCAGATAAATTTCGAGGTTGCAGTATAACAGGCAACAAGTTGCCTCTGGACAGTAGTGGGTTAGCAGTTTGGGGTGCCACTGGAACCATATGTTTGCGTTTTGATGCTACATGATTAACAGATCGAATGGCATCTCTAGAACGAGGGCTCGAACCATGGAAATGAGAGATATCAGCTGGATTTGGAATCACATTTCGCCTTATCATTTGAACATCTGGGGCCACATCATTCTCCGCTGAAACAGGAACATAACGTCCAGGCTTGAAGATGACACCCCTCAAAGTGGTGGGAGAGTTGCCAACCCTAACACTAAGTAGATATCCTCCATCAAATGTTGCATCAATGACACCAGAAACTACTGTTCCGACCATGACATCAGCTGCACCATTAGTGGGAGCTCGACGATGGGGCTGGTATCCATTCCTCCCTAAAAACCCAGGAGGAGCAGAAGGAACACCATTACCAGCATTTTCCCCCGTGTTCAGATTTGGAGTGTTTGTCACATGAGCATTCTCTTCCAGATCGGGTTTGGGATATTTCCGTGGACGGCCGCGTTTTCGCTTCATAGGGATACTTGACGAGCCATCAGGGGTGTTCCCTTGATCCGATTGGCTCATCTTCAGGCACTTTTACCAAACTCTCGTCCTCTTCCCCGAAATTTTCCCCACCCTACAGCAAGAGGAAGGCTTTAAAGTGAGTTTAAATGAGAAAATTGATATGAAACATGATATTTAAATTTACATGTCAATGATATATTGGATTCAAACTCAAATCATATTCATATGCACCAATACTTCCAGACTCCTCAAAATTATTAAGCTGGATGGTTAACTTTAGGAAGTAATTAAGCTAACCTCCACAAGCTACAAGCCAGCTGCTAATAGCTTAAAATTTCACCATATCAAACAATATTAACGGAAACAAAAACGTTAACCACAACCTATAATTAGTCTTGAGCTATAGAAGCTAAAACTTAACCACAATCTGTAAATTCACATAATTTCATTATCGTGATTCTGAAGATACAGTAAACTTCAAGCAAAAAGGAAACAACTGTTTACAAAAGATACCGGATAATAAATGAAAAATCCACATAGTATGTACTTGTGCATTACTTGCAAGTAACACTAAGCCCAATAAGAAATTCTAACTGAATGGGAAACCGAAGAGTAAGGGAACTTTTATAAGGAAACCATAGATAATGAGTTGATTTTCATGGGTTGATTTCTTCTTTTGACTACACAATTATTAGAGCCGCGCTCTACCACGGGGCGCTAATAGCTGCTTGTGGGACTCCCGCTGGGTCCACTCTTCCAAAACAAAGAGAAACTCCACCCCTTTCTCTCCTTTTTCACAAATGCGTATTTGATTTATTTTCCTAGTTAAATTTTGCAGCTTTTTGGACAAGCAGAGGTAGGACACTCAATACAAATGTGTGTTTGACTCACCACTTAGTTTTCAGTCTGCCTTTGGTTTTGTCTATCTTTATACTTCTCCACCAAATGGTGAATAAGAAGTAATCTGAAACTCTAGGAAACCGACTCTGAGACCACTTGTTAGGACGTACAACTGCAAACTGAGATTCAAAAGAATCACCACTTTGCAATTCATACCAGAAATAATTACATGAACGAGAAAGAAAATGTTACGAGCTAGTGCTTTGGACTGGACTCTACATTCACCAGCATAAGAGACAGTTGGGGTTTAATCGTATAACTCAACATTCTGTCATAAACAACTTCTCTAGTTCTCAAAATTCTCATAGCTTGGTTTAAATTCAAATGTCCCTCGTAAGTTATGTGTGTAATACCCTTGTACAGAACAGGCTAGCCGCAGCTAGCCTCCGGTGCACCAAGTCAAGCAACAAACAAAACCATTCACCAATTACGATTTTCGGACAAACACGATTCCTAATTACTGAAATCAACTGTTTTAGAATCAACAAACAACTACAATGAACAAGCATAATCGCAAATTGTCATCAGAAAGACAACAAAAAAAATAGGCCAACGCAAATATAAGCCACAACAGATGCTAGTGAACCAAAATGCATAATTATATCGACACTGATTTATACAAGTGACTCAACTCAAAACTGAGACATAAAAAATAGACACACCTGAAGCACCAAACAAATTAAAATCCAGGCAACACAAGCTTTTCCATCCTTATTTTTCACCTCCAAATTTCAAGCTTCCAGCATACAAGCACAAAGCTGAATACAGCAGGCCATAGAATTGTAATATGGAATATGTAATTTTACAATAATATTGTAAAACCCAAAAAATTTCATAAAAATTATATTTAATTTTTTTATTTACAAAAGGCTAATAGTTAACTTATTCATAAATGGAGTCAATAAAAGCAAATCACTCCACTCACCTAAACAACCACACTTTCGTATTTATTCATTTTTCACTGTTTTTTTTTTTTGTTGTTGAATTCCAACACAACAGCAACTCAGAATATTGATAAACCAAATTAAAAGTTTAAATTTTTATTGATACCCAATAAAACATGGAGATTAAAAATTAATTTGCAATTAAACCCAAGGAAAAGTTTTGAGCTTTGAAAACCCAAGTCAAAAAAATCAAGGCTGAGCTAGGGACTGAGAGAGATTGGGGAAGAAAGTGGCAGTACCTTCTCCAAGTGTTGCAACGACGTCGTCGAACTGAGAACAATAGCTTCACTGGTCGTTGATATCTGGGAATTTTGAGGTTTTGGGTTTTGGGCCAGGCGGAAGGGACGAGGTGGGGACTGGGTAAAAAAGATGCTTACCAGAGAAACAGAAGTATGAGTTCGGAGAAAATGTCACTTTCGATGCTGAAGTTAATATAATTAATTAATTTATTTATTTATGTGTGGTTTGGGAATATGTTACATTGTAAGATGTAAACGGAGCGGTGACACATAAGATAAAAGTGGGTTGTTGCTTGTTCTTATCCCTCACTAATTCTCACATTTTCTTATAAAGTTTTGAATTTGAATTTGATCAAGAAAATAAATTAAGATAAATATGCAAAGAAAAAATAAATGGACTATTTCACACTTTACAAATATCTAGTTTGTTCACTTATCACTCGTACTGTAACATTCTACGTCGTCCAGATGAGTGAATCATCTAAGTCTTATATGTATATTCTCATCTTTACATAGCACGAGACTTTTTGGGAGCTCATTGGCTTCGGGTTCCATTGGAACTCAGAAGTTAAGCAAGTTCGCGCGAGAGCAATCCTAGAATGGGTGACCCACTGAGAAGTTCTCGTGGAAGTTCTCAGAAACAAAACCGTAAAAATGTAGTAAGAGTCCAAAATGAATTTAGTGAATCATAATTAAAATATATTTAGGTAGAAAATGTCTATTCGAATACACATAGAGAGGCTAGTGACTATGTGTGGCCACACGAATCAATATTGAATCGATAAATGTTACATTAAGGATAAGACAAAAATGACTATTATCATGCATCTCAGTACCGATTAATGTGATACTATAAATAAGAAAATCCACAAGATAGCTATATAAATAAAAGGTAGAAAAGCTAGAACGAAAAAACTGGTCACAAGAACAGGTTAGAAGTTGATCGATCGTCCGATCGTGTCATACGACTGTATATGTACAAGCAGCAACTTAAATGACTTATCTTAGAACCAGACAAAGTTTGACAATTGACTCGCCTATTGTAAAGTTTGGAAAGACCCATATAGCCGCTCATGCACAAAACATCTAGGTTACGAGGAGTGTGACGTTCACCTTCTAAGTGTCGTTAAAACATTAATAAAAGTATATCTACACCAAGGTTAAAAGACCAAAAAAGACATTTACCAAGAGAATGGCGCACATGTTAACATTTCAAAGATGGACGAGAAAGTTAAATGTTATACTTTAAATGGTCAAACGTCAACCACTTAAAAGTTATCATGTCTACACGAGCTATTTTTCTCAGATAGATGACCAGAAAAATAGGCAAAAATCTTTGAACCTGTATAAACTTTGATGTACTTTGGCATCCAACTTAACTTATAGTTGCTACTTAAAAGGAATTTTGTTTGCCTCTTTGAGTTAAATTCAAATTAGGAATCAAGGAGTGGTTGACATATTGTGCATCATGAAGGCTCATGTTCAAGTTGGGAGGTTTGTAATTGAAGAGTTGTAGAAAGCATATGTCTCTCATACCACAAATGTTAAGAGTTTGAACTTTCTCCTACCCCAAAATTTAGCCCTAGCCCAAATGCTTGTGTATCCTCGGATCACTTTTACATTTCAATGGCTCAAGAGATTCCGAAAAAATTTAGGGTTTCTAAAGCTTTACTTTCAGAATCTTACCTTTTTGTTCTTTGTATGGGGATGGAAGCATGTTAAGCTATCTAAAGATGGCCCCTGTGTGTCTCATCTGTGCAGACTAATTTTATATAATCAATGTTGGGGCATGAGAGTCGAACTTAGGACTTTAGGTGTAGAGTTATTACTCTTAATCAATTGAACTACAATCCCTCGTCATTTCGAATCTAATTTAGGTACAATTAATAAGAGATTGTAATTTAAAGAACGGATGATTACTAGGAATTTGTACTTCTTAGTACCACAAGCTCCACAACT